TTGTTAGTGTATAGGAAAGCTACAGATTTCTGTGTGTTAATTTTGTATCCTGCAACTTTGCTGTATTCCGATATCAGTTCTAGTAGTTTTGGAGTGGAGTCTTTAGGGTTTTTTATGTACAGTATCATATCATCTGCAAATAGTGACAGTTTAACTTCTTCTTTACCAATCTGGATTCCTTGTATTTCTTTGTTTTGTCTGATTGCCGTGGCTAGGACCTCCAGTACTATGTTAAATAACAGTGGGGAGAGTGGGCATCCCTGTCTGGTTCCCGATCTCAGTGGAAATGCTTTCAGCTTCTCGCTGTTCAGTATAATGCTGGCTGTGGGTTTATCATATATGGCCTTTATTATGTTGAGGTACTTGCCCTCTATTCCCATTTTGCTGAGAGTTTTTATCATGAATGGATGTTGAATTTTGTCAAATGCTTTTTCAGCATCTATGGAGATGATCATGTGGTTTTGTCTTTCTTTTTGTTGATGTGGTGGATGATGTTGATGGATTTTCGAATGTTGTACCATCCTTGCATCCCTGAGATGAATCCCACTTGATCATGGTGTATGATCCTCTTGATGTATTTTTTAATTGGGTTTGCTAATATTTTGTTGAGTATTTTTGCATCTATGTTCATCAGGGATATTGGTCTGCAGTTTTCTTTTTTGGTGGGGTCTTTGCCTGATTTTGGTATTAGAGTGATGCTGGCTTCTTAGAATGAGTCTGGAAGTATTCCTTCCTCTTCTATTTTTTGGAAAACTTTAAGGATAATGGGCATTATGTCTTCTCTGTATGTCTGATAAAATTCAATGGTGAATGGGAGTTTTGTTCTTGGATAGTTTTTTGATTACCGATTCAGTTTTGTTGCTGGTAATTGGTCTGTTTAGATTTTCTGTTTCTTCCTCGGTCAGTCTTGGAAGGTTGTATTTTTCTATGACGTTGTCCATTTCTTCTAGGTTTTCGAGCTGGTTAGCATATAGATTTTCATAGTATTCTCTAATGATTCTTTGTATTTCTGTGGGGTCTGTCATGATTTTTCCTTTCTCATTTCTGATTCTGTTTCTGTGTGTAGATTCTCTTTTTCTTTTAATAAGTCTGGCTAGGGGTTTATCTATTTTATTTATTTTCTCAAAGAGCCAGCTCTGGGTTTCATTGATTTTTTTCTATTGTTTTATTCTTCTCAGTTTTATTTATTTCTTCTCTGATCTTTATTATGTCCCTCCTTCTGCTGACTTTAGGCCTTATTTGTTCTTCTTTTTCCATTTTCAATAATTGTGACTTTAGACTATTCATTTGGGATTTTTCTTTCTTCTTTAAATAGGCCTGGATTACTACATACTTTCCTCTTAGAACTGCCTTCACTGCATCTCACAGAAGTTGGGGTTTTGTGCTGTTGTTGTCATTTGTCTCTATATATTGCTTGATCTCTGTTTTACTTTGGTCCTTGATCCATTGATTATTTAGGAGCATGTTGTTAAGCCTCCATGTGTTTGGCATTTGGGGAAGGGGAGGAAATAGACAAGTGTGTTTGAACTGCTGTGTTTAATTCAAAACACAATGACTCATTTTAAATGTGTGACAGAAAAAAATTTTCTTCTATATATGTGAAAACACATAGATTGATGTCAAGTCTATCATGTATACTTCTCTACACCAGTACTTTTTGCGTGTTATACTTAGTGTGTGATTCGGGGACAGCAGTGTTGTGCACTGAATTTGCTCTATAAGATTATTTCTTGTATGAGGCTGAGGGAGGAATTCACTCAAATGATTCAGGGTTGACTGAAAGGCAGGGCGTAATGGATTGCCAAAGCTTCTGCAGCTCAATGCTTTTTTTGTTTCAATGCTGCACGCATCTGTTAGGGTAAGTATGTTACACAGATGATGACTATCAAAGAAATGTGAGTGCTGTGACATGCATGCATAGCATATGTCTAGGAGATGGATGGTAAGATGTTTAAATGGGATTTTATACTTTAATCATGGTGTAAGAGATGGGATGTATGATACATTCCAAATGATAATTGTGCAAGTTGGGTGAGGCATATATGGGAAGTTATGTTGTTCTGTCTGCTCTTGTGCATGTTTAAACATGTCTGTAATAAGCTTTTAAAATAAAAGGTGTTGGGTGCCTCATAAGAACAGATGGATACCTGGTAAAGGTGGGTTTGTCCATCAAGATGGGCATTTAATTCTCTCTCAATAAAGAAATTTCGACAACTGTAATTCCTTTGAAGTTGAGAAGAAAACCACTTTTCATGTAACAGAAAGAAAGGAGGAATGGGAAAGTGTTATTTTCAAGGTTTGTTGATGAAAAGTCCCTATCTCATGGCTTCTAGCTCCTCTGTGAATGGTGATGGAGCACACCTGCTAAGCAGGGAGAGGTGGTCTATAATTTTGAGAAGGTGAAGAAGATTTGAAATAGATTTGCATAGCATCTGAGAGAGCATGGAATAAGAAAACAGTAACCTAAGCTCCATTTATTTGGGGCACATGTTAGTAACTGGGATAATTATTTGTGGAATGAATGAATGATTTCATCTGTGTAACACACTCACCCTAACAGATGCTTGCAGTATTAAAACAAAAAAAGCATTGGGCTGCAGAGGCTTTGGCAATCCATTACACCCTTCCTTTCAGTCCACCTTGAATCATTTGAATAGTGCTGGGTCCCAATTTATCACGCAGCCAGCAGACTTGTGAGATTTATTCCAGTAGTGACCACTTACTTACAGGAAGAATTTCTGGAAAAGGAAGAGGGAGGATTTTACCAGAAAGGATGGATTAAAGGGGATTAGAGTAGTGGAGCTTTTTTACATGTTGGTTATCTGATAGACATCAAGTCTGCTTTGGAGGAGAGGAAGGATGAGAAGACAAGAATTTGATGGTAGACAAGTGGAGAAATGAATGACCTGGAGTTGAAAAATTAACAAGGGGCATACAAGTTGGAAGGATAAGGGTATGAGGCCAAAGAGTGGAATATCAGGCTGTATTAGGATGACAGAATTGTTCCTGGAATAAGCGCTGCAGTGTGGCAGGAACTGCACTGGGATGGAAATAAAGGACCCTGAGATGAGATGGTGTAGTAACTGTGAGGCTGAGTTATTGGCTGGTCTGTCCCCATGGAGGTTGGAGCCCTCCACTGCCTGATCACCTCTTCAAGTTCCCTGCCCCTGACCCCATACCACCTTGGTCCCTCCCTGGGCTTTCACAGAACCTTCATTCTTTCTGTGACCCAAAGCCTGAGACATGGTAGGGTCTACGATGCACCTCTGGACAAAAGAACCAAGTGTAGGAGTGAGAGAGGCCTGTGGTTGACACCTGATATTTTAATAGCCAGCATTCATAAATCTTTTTGAAAAGACTACCTCAAGCGCTCTGTAGGACACACACCCCATTTGTGAGTCCCGTTCTGGACAAGTGGAGTTACCTTTACCTTCCGATCCCTATTGTAACTATGCATATGTGAGCAGTCTTGGCCAAAAAAACATTCCCTGCAGGTCCATGGTGAGCCCCCAGATATCTGTAACCCTGATGCATAGTCTTGGATTCACCTCTGGTTCATGAGCAACAGGTGTTCTGGGGGAGATCAACCAGGCTCCACCAAGGCCATGAATATGAAAGGTGACATGTCCATCCTGATAAATGAACCGTACATACTAAGGGAAAGATCCTGTATTTTGCCATCAAGTGTGGATGGATGAAGGCACCAAAATCACATTTCCCAAAGAAGAGGATGCCATGCGTAATGACATCCCTCTAGATACTGTTTTTGTACTTAGACCAGCCCCACACCCTTTTAGTAAAAGGCATCAGTATGCTGTGCTGTGGCCTGATCAGCCTCAAGGAGGTAGAGCCTGAATTGACTGGAGGAAGTGGGGAGCAGTACAGGGTCACGATATGGGGATAACGAGATGTATACCTTTTCCCACCCACCAGGTCATTCTTTCCCCTCACCGTCTTTTGTTGTTTTCCAACTCATGACTAGGCCTCCTTTCCTTACTCTCAGCTTTATTTTACACTGGGAGGTAGATGGCTGCCTGGTCAACATTCCTACCAGTGACAGCGGGCCCATGCTTTTGCTCTGCAGAAGCATGTCATCAATCGGGCAGCCTGAAGAAATTCCCAGGATGGAAGAACCACCACTTCCCCAAGATGCCTTTCCAGTAGGAAAACCTCACTGTCAAGGTGAAAGTATGCTTCCCCAACACAATAACATGATCCACATGACAGATGCTTAAGCAGCATCTATACAGTTTCCAGACCCTACCCCAACTATCCCAGGATCCACTGCAGCAATACCCACCCCAGACACTCCCATTCGGGTCTACCCTGTGGGATCCTCTGGTTACTCACTTCTAAATGATGAGTAAGCCACTGCTTCTTCTTGAATGTTATTTTCTGAAAAATATACCTGTCCTTGACCCTCTTCAGATATAGACGACTTGTCCTCCCTAGTGCTAGAAGTGGTATAAAACATTCAGTGGGGAAGGTGTGGGCTGCCATACATTTTCAATAAGGCTAAGCTAAGAGACGGGAGACAGAACTCATCTCTTCAGACTTCATCAGGGTGGACATGGGCTTTTGGGAACAGATGAGATCTATTTCTCAACAAGAGCAACAGGGGTCATGACACCTTTTAGAAGTCAAAGGAAGCAATGACTGAGGCTGGACTCTTTCCTTTCCCTAAGTACAAGTCCAGAGTTACCCCAAACCCATGCCCCCCCACAGAGAACACAGAAATCACTATTATTAGAAAAACATTTATTGGGAAAAATCAATATTATACACAAGGAAAGAATTATTTGGAGGAAGGAAATTCTCATTTCTGGAAAATCTGAAGAATTGTTTTCTTTATAAACTGTAGAGACAGATCTCTGAATGCAGTGTTTTCAGCAGTGGTGAGAGCAGCTGGAGGCCCCTGGCAGGCCTGATGCCTGCTGGTGGGGCAAGCATGGGGCACAGGATCCTTGTGGGGCATGGATGAGGGGTGCTTCTGAGCCAATAGCTGGGTACCTGTCTTACTCTCTGATCTGTAGAGTACTTGAAGGGTAACTGTAGCCAGCAGAGAGAGCTTCTTGGTGGCCACACTGGTTATTTGCCACTTTACCAGAAGGAGCCTTGTGGTTGAAAGACTGCCCCCGAGTGGGATCTGCTGGGCCTGCCCTTCTGCCTTCTGCTGAATTTTCACAAATTTCACTTGGGGCTGATGGGGCTTTTCAGGGTGGGTGCTACCTATTGCTTGCTGATGCCCCATTTTGTTCTCTAAGAACTTCCCAGTGTCTGTCATGATTTTCTGAGCTTCAGTCATTCCGCTAAAGGCAGCTATACTTTGAACTACACCTCGGCTCTGCGCTGCTCTTTTCCTGGGGATTTTCTTTGCCAGGACAAATCCATTTTAAAAAGTGTTTCATTGTTTGGCAGAAACGGCTTTTGTCAGGCTGAGCCTTCTGGGACAGTGTCTGCGAAGACTTCTTCCCAAGTGTCTCCCTTGCCAGGGAACTCTTCTTTCCTGATTGGGATGTTCCCAGCCCTGCATTTGCACCTGGAGGGAAATTCTCACCCAGGCACTTCCTTAAGATACGCTCAGGGACACGAGGCTCTTGCTGATGCTCCATGCTGCTGCCTCTGTCCTCCACATGGACATGTAGCTCCTGGAAAGGTCCCATGTCCCCACTGGAAATACCCTGAGCATGAGTCAGTGAGGCCTTAGACATCAAACTGTCTGAGGCAAGGGACATGTGAGTGGGTTGTCCTTTGGCCTGGGCATGTGTCTCACTGTCATATTTTACCATTAACACATTCAACAGTTGTTGCCTCAGGTCTTTTGATTTAAGATCTTGGGGACCCAAAATATTTGGTGGGCAGTGTTCAGTGGTCACAGAACCATTCACATTTTTCATTTGGGAGCTTCCTGGCTTGCTGGGAGTCAAGATGTCACTAATTTTTCCTTGATGAATATCCATCTCTGCAGCCCTAAATATATCCCTGGACATGCTGAGCTCAGAAACAGGTTTTAAAATCTTCTCTGTCTTCTTGCCACATTTCTACTTCATTACTGCACCTCACAGTCTTATGCTCTCGCTTATATAGAGGCCCAGCTTGCTTTGGGGGCAGTTCTGAGAGGCTCCTGTTGGCCGGTAGAGTCTGACTCTGAGTAGCTTTGCCTTTAATGCTGTGTAATGACAGGCCCAAGAGTCTGTCTGGCCTCCTTGATTCCCTGAATATCCTTGGCAATCTCATGGTTAATATTAGGGGGTGATTGTCTCAGCATCTCTTGTCCTTCTTTGGCCACAAGTGAGGTAGCAGGGAGAGGATGCTGCAGTACAGGGGCTGAACTTACTGTCCCCACTCTGTCTCCATCAGGAGTAGAGCACCCTCTACGGGGCTTGATTTGCAGCCTCTCAGATTTGGAGTTTGCCCCAGACACCAAGTTGGCTGAGCAAGGATAGTTGGAATAGGATAAGGAGTAGGATGAGACATTTTTCAATTTAAAAATTTCTATGGATTCAATGACCTTCGGGAGAAGTCCGCACACCATCCTCATATGAAACTTTTTAATATGAGCTTCCAGTACCTGCTTTACACTGGAATCAATGAAGGAAAGTTCCTGGAAGGTATTCCATTTGTAGTCTTCATCCACTGATGGTGGCAAACTACTCTGTTTTGATTGGATGTGGGATTCCTCAGGAAGCAGTGTCTGCTTCATACATTCCCATGAATTCTGCACAGCCCCAGGGAGCTGACCCTCACTGATTTCCTCAGACTTCTTGCTCAGATGTACTCTTAGGATGTTCACAAGTTCTCTCCAGCCTTCATATTCCCCTAACCCCCCTGACAGACTCACCATGTGACTGTCTAGTTCTTCCTCAGAATCATATTCCACGTCCTCATATGAAAAGCCCTCTGGTTCACACAACAGAAGATCTTTTCAGCCACTCTCTGGGCTCTGTCCCTGACCTTTCCCCACATCCTTCTCTAGCTGAAATATTTCTGAGGGCCACTTTTGGAAGCTACCAGGTTGGCTCAATCCAACATTAAGATTCTTGCTACTCTTATCATTAAGCACATTTCTCTGTAAGAGTCCATGATTTCTCTTTGACCCAGATATCTCTGAAGAATCACTCGGTGACATCATCGGTGATAGAGATTCTAGGACCCTGTGGGGCAGGCCCCACGAGTGTTTAATGAGCCTCTTTTGAAGGTGCTGTTCTAGTTTCTTCCGAATCTCATCACTAAGAGGAAATGCTCCAGGAAGGATAGAGATTGAAGCATGGGGCTGGGAGGCCTTGCAGTTGGAAAAGGAACGAGCCAGAGGACAAAATTTCACCTGAGATCTTTGGACCACAGCAGGTAAACCCCACAAACATTCTTGTTGCTTCTGAAACACATTCCATTCCAGGTCTTGAATTTCAGATGAGCTGAGAGAGTCTAAATCATTCTGGGGTCCATGGAAACACACTCCACAGATCCTCGTCTGGGATAGAGGACCAGATGGTGGGATTCTGGGTTGAGATGGAAGATGAGCCTGGGTCTGGCCATGAGAGACAGGTGGGGGCTGAGCTTGTGGCAGCACTTGGAGCTGGGGCTGAGGGTGCTTCTCAGGCAAGGACAGAGGTATGAGATGAGGAAGCTCTGGGGATTCTTGACCTGCAGAAGCATTCAAGATTGCATTGAATATAAAGACTATGGAATAGTCACCCAAGCCATGGGCAGCAGAGGACAAGGACTCACTGTGTAGAGATGGGGACCCTAAAAGAGCTGGATACCTTCTTGCTTTAATTGGCTCCCCAAGGTCTTAAGATATGGGGGCTGCTCATGCACATGCAGCTCCTTTGGTTTGCCTTTGCTGTTCCAAAAAGGAAGGGATGGAAAGCACTATGGACGTTCCTCAAAAAGCTCAAAATAGAAATACCATTTGACCCAGGAATCCTACTTCTAGGAATTTGCCCTAAGAATGCAGCATCCCAGTTTGAAAAAGACAGATGCACTCCTATGTTTATCACAGCATTATTTACAATAGCCAAGAAATGAAAGCAACCTAAGTGTCCATCAGTAGATGAATGGATAAAGAAGATGTGGTACATACACACAATGGAATATTATTCAGCCATAAGAAGAAAACAGATCCTACCATTTGCAACAACATGGATGGAGCTGGAGGGTATTATGCTCAGTGAAATAAGCCAGGCAGAGAAAGACAAGTACCAAATGATTTCACTCATATGTGGAGTATAAGAACAAAGAAAAAGCTGAAGGAACAAAATAGCAGCAGACTCACAGAATCCAAGAATGGACTAACAGTTACCAAAGGGAAAGGGACTGGGGAGGGTGGGTGGGAAGGGAGGGATGGGGGGAAGAAAAGGGGCATTATGATTAGCATGTATAATCTTGGGGGAGGCATAGGGAGGGCTGTGCAACACAGAGAAAACTAGTGACTCTACAGTATCCCCCTACACTGATGGACAGTGACTATAATGGGGTTTGTTGGGGGGGACTTGGTGAAGGGGGGACCCTAGTAAATATAATGTTCCTCATGTAATTGTAGATTGATACCAAAATAATAAATAAATAAATAAATAAATAAATAAATAAAGGGAGACTGCTGAGTCATGCCTATCAGTGACTGACTATATCATTTTCCCAGGGGAATTTAGTTGGTACTCTGGCCTAAGTTGTTTTGGAAAAGAACCCTCTTTCTTTTCCTTTTCCTTCAATCACAGGAAATCACTCCTCTTTTGGACTTGTGTCTCCAGAAGTGCCAGGCAATCATGGCTGAGAGATGAAAGGTTACCAGACTCTGTAGGGATGGCTGCAGGGTCTCCCCTGAAAGAGTTCTCTGAAGAGTGGAGGGCAAGAAACTCTTGATTGAAATCACACTGTGACAAGTCTTTGGCATGAGCTTGCCCCCAAGAACAGTCTGAAGTTGACAAGCTTGAATGGTCAATGTCTCTGATTCTTGGGTCAAACGTGAACAACCCACCAGGGCTACCTGGAGATGAGTTCTCTGGAATAGGCATTGGTGGGATGGAAATCGATTTAGATATAGTCACAGTCAAATTGCAATCTGGTGGTGCTGCAACAGACATGCTTGGTAGTAGGTGAGGACAAAGAAATGAATCCATGGGATTCATTGTCCGGGACAATTCTGGTAAGGGGTTGATGTCTTGGGAAAGTGGGGAGGTGGTATTCACAGACAAAGCAGCCTCTGGGTGGAGAACAGGATCCACTGTCCGAGTGTCATATGGTGGGAGAGGGGGAAAGGCAAGGGTTTGGGTTTGGGAACAATTTAGAATCCAAGGAAGGAAAAGGTTCTGGTGACAGTGTGTGACACACAGGTGAAGCAGTGAGGAAAAGCCCACTAGGGGAGTCATTGGGTTGGGTGAGAGAATGCAGGGAGGTGGTGAGGAAGGCTCAGACAGAGAGGCTGGTGTTAGGTCTCCTGGGGGGACTGCTGAGTCATCAGGGAACACACTGGGTGATGACTCAGTCACAGGAGCTGTGGAAGCCAAAGGGGTCACAGAGGGAATAGTACCTTCCAGGACTTCTGGGCACAGCAGCCGATTGACCTCAACTGTTGTGGTATTACACACCTCACAGAAGGGGTCTGGACATAACAGTTGACGAAAGCAGGTATAATTGTAATTCTGGCCCCGGTGGCTGCAGGAGACAGGAAGTACAAAGCTGCAGCCAGGACAAGCTTAGGAGAGGGGCCACCTGCAGCCTGCTGCCCCTTCACATTATCCCACAGCTATGACTTCACAAGAAGCTCAACACCCCCACACCAAGACTTTCATTCCCATACACTTTTCTATGCCTACCTCCTCCCATGTGTATGACAGGCTACCCTGAATCCCCCAAGTTGCATAGAACATACTAAATAGGAAAGGGAAAGACCTTTTTAGAAGAGCAATCAGCTGCTGTTCCTCCTCCTCTTCTGTCAGGTAATAACTGCAAGCTGAGAAACCAAGAAGTGTGGATTATACGTAATGAAGGTAGAAGCATAGGTTTTGTATAGGAATCCCTTTACAAGAGCCGCTTGGAATATTAGACTCTGAAAGCCCCAAGATTCAATAGACAAGGTCAAATGGTCAAGAATAATATTAACAAGGTTGCCGTATTTTCAAAGTACAGTCACATATGTTATGTGATGCTCACACCGCCCACGTGAAGCATAGAGATCAATAGTTTCTCATAGAAGAATTTGAGTATCCAGGAAGTCAGAGTACTTTCCCAGATCAAGAGACAGAAAAATTCTGACTCTCCACATCTCACACAAGTTTACCACCTATTGGGCAACACCATTACCCAGGTCCATCTCTGCTTCATGCCCATGAATGGCAAAGCAGGGAATCTGACAAGTGTGTCAGGCCCTGACGGACTTCCCATGAGCCTAAGTGATATGCTTTCTGAGATTAGCTAGACTCTCTCTAGCAACTGACACCCTCAGAGATCGTGGACTTGGGACCTCATGGAAAGGACAGGAGGGGTCACTGTTGGAGGGTTCAGGTGCAATAGGCAGACACGTACCCTTCAGTGAGCCACCTTGCCTTCTCCGCTGGGCTCCCCCTTGATGCTGAAAACAAAAGGAAAAGAATGAGGGGCTGGGACTCATTTCTCTGGCTCTTTTTTCTAGCAAACTCTGACATTCATTATCCAAGAATCATATGACTCTATTTTAACTAATACAATTCTGTGTTCCTTTTGTCAGTTTTAAAACTTTAAAATGCTTTCAATTTATACTTCTTTGAAAAACTCAAAGAAGGATTTTGCCTATGAAGTGCACACTTGATATTCCCAGTCAGAAGGCCTCTGCTGGAGGCAGGCTTAGGCCCTGAGGCGAGCAGTCCTGTCTGTGCTCCCTCAGACGGGACCATGTATCCTGGGACAGAGCTTGGGCTTCAGCCTCTGCCAAAGGCTCTCAGAAGCTCGGCACTGCTCTCCACATGCACGAAGGAAGGCTTGGTCAAGTGATGCAGGACATGAGAATGTAACTCAAGATCAAGTTCAGGGAACTTTGTTTGCCTGCAGATCCCAAACTCTCTAAATTGCCCAATCTAGGGCCACAAAATCCCTGCTGGGGATTTTATCACAGTTAGTTGGTGAGCTTCGAATGGCAACAGTCCCAGATAAGCCCTTCACCCTGCCCAGTGTTTCCCTAGAAGGATGAAATTCTATGTTCTCCTCTGTCTTCCCATCTTGAGTGTGTCTCTGAACCAACCAAATTCATTAAAAAATGTGGGACCAGAAGTGGAAATGACAGTGAAGAGGCCCTGTTGGAGGTCTTCCCAGGGGCCCTTACCTTGTTGCTGTATTGCACTTTCCCTCTGGTTGGTGCAGATAGCATCCCCACCAGGTAGTATAGGGACAGAAGGATGAACCCCAAACCACACAGGATAATGAAGCTAGGGTTAATACTCAAGGTTTCTGAGCCAAAACTCAGACTTGGCTGAATAGGGTTGTTCAGAAATGAAAGAAGGTTCCATTCTCTGAACTCCATCTTCCAAGCTACCTGAGGTAACTGAGCTCTGGGAGGGCAGGGGCTTGGCTTTAGTCCCAAGCCCGCATCACAGAGCACCGAGGAGTCACAAAGGGTGTCTGTTGGGGAGGGGGCAGCGTGAGGAGGGTGTGCCCCCTGCCCCTCCCATACCCCCAGCCCAGCAGATACCCCTCTCCTCCTGGGACCTCCAGGCCCCTCTTCCCTAGCCTCACACCCTGTTTTCCAACTTTACCCTGTCGTATCATATATTACCATAATGAAACTTGCTGCTTGTTTCGTCGATACTTCCCAAGTTCCCCTTCACTGTTGGGAACCTTGACTTGAGTCTCACCGATTCAACTGCCTTGAAAACCTGAGATACTGACTGGAATTATGGCTCATACCAAAGAACACTTATACCCATGATCTTGTATGTCCTCAAATCCATTTTTTGTGTAGAATCTTTTAGCTTTATGAAACAAGATATTGGCTTTAAAGCTCTTTTACACTCACTTAGTTTTGTGAATGTTAAATAGCCAACTTAAATTTTTTGTTTCAGTCAGGCTTGACCATTCTCAATCTGAGGGGCTGACTAAAATAATTAAAATGAATAATTCATTATTCAACATTCACACAACTAACATCAACATAAAATAAATGTAAATAATCCTTCAAATGATCTTGATCTTTGTAGTAAGTCTGTAGCACTTACTTTTCTGAAGTGAGTGAAGTTAAACTACATACAGACTTTTGGGACATTCCATACACACATAAAAACACATACACACACATCTTTTCACAAACTGATCTGGTATGTTCAAATCAAAGAAAAACATTTCAGTTCCACCCTTTTATTTTGATATTTCATTTTTTAAAATTCTGACCCTACTTCTAACTCTACTTAAGACAGACAGTTCCTACCCTGTACATGAAACTTCTAACAGGTGTACAAATCCCTTTCTTAGCTCAGGCTTGTATACCAAAAATAGCATAGATAAGGTAGCTTAGAGAACAAACACTTATTTCGCACACTTCTGAAGGCCAGGAGGTCCACAATCAATGCACCAGTAAACTTCAGTGTCTGCTGAGACTCACTGTCCAGTTTACAGAAAGCTGTCTTCTCCCTGAAACCTCATGTCAGAGAGAAAGAGATTGAAGGAGCTCTGTGGGGTCTGGTGTACAAATTAATGCCTTTTTCCCCCAGTTATTTTAGAATAACGAAATAAAAAGAATCCCCTAGCTGCCAGGCAGGTTTTGGTGTTTGAAATACAGGGCAAAGCACTACATCACTGCAAATAAATAGAGAGTTAGTCTGCATGTCTGTAGGCTGTGTGATTGTGGAAAATACAAATGCTGCTAATATATTTCCTTTTTACAAAAGCATATCTAAATAGATGATTGTTTTGATGTTAATCTTTAGAAATTATGTATTACCAATTTTAACATTGGATGTAAATGCATAAAAAGCTTGCATCTCCATCCATGAAAGTCTAGCAGTAAATGGAAAAAACTTTTCCGAACTACAGAGTGGTGAGTTTGCTATTTTATTCCTCTTTCCTATCTTCCCATTTCTTTTCCAGGATCTTCACCCAGTTTCCAAACAGATTTTTTTTTTAATTAAGGTATCATTGATATACAGTCTTATGAAGGTTTCACATGAGCAACATTGTAGTTTCAACATTCACGCATGCTATCAAGTCCACCCCCCAACCCAGCCCTGAATGGACATTTTTAAAGAATGCATACAGATGGCCAACAGGTACACAAAAGTGCTCAACACCACTAATTACCAGAGAAATGGAAATAAGAACCACAGTGAGATGTCACCTTAACACCTGTAAGAATGGCTATTTTCAAAAAGACATGAAATAATAAATATTGGCAAGGATGTGGAGAAAAGGGAATCTTTGTGTACTGTTGGTGGAAATGTCAATCAGTGCAGCCACTACAGAAAATAGTATGGAGGTTCCTCAAAAAATTCAAAATAGAATTGCCATATGATCCAGAAATTCTACCTCTGGGTATTTATCTGAAAGAAACAAAAACACTAAGTCAAAAAGATACTTGTACCTCCATGTTCATTGCAGCATTATTTACAGTATCCAAGACATGGATATCTTGTGTCCCAAGTGTTCCCTGATAGCTGTCCGTAGATGGATAAAGAAAATGTGATGTTATATGTATACAATGGAATATTATTTAGCCATAAAAACAAAGGAACTCTTGTCATTTGTGACAACATGGATGGACATAGAGAGCGTTATGCTAAGTGAAATAAGTCAGACAAATATAATAAATACCATATGCTCTCACTTACACGTGGAATCTATAACCAAAAAAACCCTCATAGATATTCAGAATAGACTGGTGGTTGCTAGAGGCAAGGGTAGAAGGTGGGTGAAATGGGAGAAGGTAATCAAAAGATACAGACTTCTAGTTATAAAATAAATAAGTCCTGGGAATTTCATGTACAGCATGGTGACTGTAGTTAATAATGCTGTATTGTATATTTGAAAGTTACTAAGAGAGCAAATCTTAAAAGTTATCACAAGAAAAAAATTGCAACTGTGTGGGGATGGATGTTAACTAGACTTATTGTGGTTATCTTTGTCATTTAACAATATCATTTCACACTATATACAACTACCAAATCACTGTGTTGCACACCTAAAACTAATATAATGCTATATGTCAATTATATCTCAATGTTTTTAATGCTCAACAAAATAGGAATAAAAGGACATTACCTCCACATAAGAAAAGTCATATATGAAAAGCTCACAGCAAACATCACACTCACTGGTGAAGGACTGAAAGCTTTTCCTCTAAGATCAGGAACAAGGCAAGGATGCCCACCTTCACCACTTCAATTCAACATGGTACTGGGAGTTCTAGCCATAGCAATTTGGTGAGAAAAAAATAAATTAAAAGCAGCCAAAGTGGAAATGAAGAGGTGAAGTTATAATTATCCCTTTTTGCAAGTGATATGATTTTATTTGTAGAAAATCTTAAAGACTCCAAAGGAAGTCATTTATTAGCTGTTAGATCTGATAAATGAATTCAGCAAACAGGATAGAATTGACATACAAAAATCATTTGCATTTCTATGCACAAAGAACAATCTAAAAAGAAAATTCCAAGAACAATTCCATTTACAATAGCATCAAAAAGCATAAAATACTTAGGAATTACCTTAACCATGGAGAGGAAAGACTTGTACAATGTAAACAACAAAACACTGCTGAAAGAAATTAAAGAAGACATAAAGAAATGGAAACACATCCCATATTCATGGAATTGAAGATTTAATATTAAAATCTCAATGCTGCCCAAAATGATCTACCAATTCAAATAAATCCCTATCAATATCCAAATGATGTATTTTGCAGGAATAGAAAAACCTATTCCAAAATTCATATGGAATCTAAAGGAACACTGAATAGCTAACATAATTTTGAAAAAGAAGAACAAAATGGTACTTACAAGTAAGTCCACTACTTGATTTCAAAGCTTACTACAAAGCTATAATAATAAAAACAGTGTGGTTTTTGGCATAAAGACAGACATATATACCAATGTAATAGGATAGAAAGCCCACAAATAAACCCTCACATATAAGGTCAAATGATTTTTGACAAGGGTGCCAAGACAATTCATTGCGGAAAAGAATAGCCTTTTCAACACATTTAGCTTATAAACTGGATATCCAGCTGCAAAAGAATAAAGCTGGACCCTTACCTAACACCATATATGAAAATTAACTCAAAATAGATCAAGCATCTAAATGTAAGACCTAAGACAATAAAACTCCTATAAGAAGACATAGGACATAAGTTTCATGACATTGGATTTGGCAGTTTCTTGGATATGACATCCAAGGCATAGTAGCAACAACAAAACACAGACAAACTGGACTTCATTAAGTTTTTTTTAATTTGTACATCAAAAGACACTATCCACATAGTAAACAGCAACTCACAGAATGGGAGAATATATTTGTAAATCACGTATCTGATAAATGGTTAATCTAGAACACATAAAAACTCATAAAACTCAAAAAAAGAAAACCAACCAAATTAAAAAATGAGCAAAGTATTTGAATAGATATTTCTCCAAAGAAGATATATGAGTGGCCAATAAGCACATGAATAGGTGTTCACAACATCACTAACCATTAGGGAAATGCAAATTAAAACTACAGCGAGCTACCACCTCACACCCATTAAGATGTTATCAAAAAACAGAAAACAAGTGCTGGCAAGGATGCAAGGATGTGGAGCCATTGGAACCCTGGACTTTGGTGGGAATGTAAAATGACACAGCCACTGTTCAAAACAGTATGGAGTATCCACAGAATATTAAAAATAGAATTACCTTATGACCCAACAATCCCACTTAGGGGCATACACCCAAGAGAACTGAAAGCAGAGACTCAAAGAGATATATGTACACCAGTGGTCATAATAGCATTATTAGCAATAGCTTAAACTTGGAAGCTACCCAAGCATCCATTGACCATTGAATGGATAAGTAAAGTGTGTTATATATGTACAAGAGAATATTATTCAGCCTTAAAAAAAAAGAAGGAAATTCTGGAATATTCTACAACATGGATGAACCTTAAGGACATTATGCTAAGTGAAATAAGCTAGTCTCAAAAAGACAAATACTGTGTGATTCCACTTACATGAGGTACTTAGAGCAGTCAGAATCATAAAGACAGAAAGTAGAATGGTGACTTTCAGGGCAGGAGGGAAAAAAAATATTCATGGACTGGCCAAGAAAAAAATCTTTGGCTTACTTTTCCTTAAATACTTTAAAGAGGTGGACCCACTACTATCAGGCATTGATTGCTGCTATGGAGAAAGCTAAGTTCACACTGTTTTTCTCCTTGTATGTGACTTGATCTTTTTGCCCACAGGTTATTTATTCATCCTCAAAATCCAGTAGCTTTAGGGATATATTTCTGAGTTGATAATTCTGGGTCAATTTTCACTGGTATATGATTAGTCTTTACAACA